TCGCGCAAGTTCTTCTGTCCACGTGTACTTGACGAGCAAAACAGCAGTCACTCTTTGGCGGAAATAGGTAAACATGATTTATCTAAACTGTTAAAAGCATGGGCTGTTTTGCATGGGACATTTCAATTCACTTTGTTTTCTGTCTTTGGCAATGGCTCTGTACCAGATGTACTGGAGAAAGATGTAACAGCACGTGTAATGAGCTGTTATGGAACAGCTTTCCCACAGATGGATCTTCTCAATGTGTCCTCTTCATCAACAGTCTCCTAAAAGCAATGTAAATTGTTAAGAGAAGGTATCCATAAACATTTAGGTATGATGGCATCACCTGCCTGGTGGAGAACGTTTGTGTGCCCAGTTGAGAAATTCATATACTGAGGTATGAATGTATTGGCCTTCTCCATTAGCACTCCCTGGAATGGTGCTCCAGTCAAATGATCCCGCTATATTGCAGCCGGTAACCAGCTGTTACCACAAACACGAGGGCAGCTGTTTTATGTTGGGTGATGGAGACTTGCTTTAGCTCATATGGTTAAAGTTGGAAAGACTCCAGTCTGTGCTTCCTGGTCCAAATTCTGACTGAGGCTGTGAATTATATTTGAAATGACTGTATTTGGTTACTTTAATTACATAATTTTTATGTATGAAGAGGAGCATTATTTGAAGAATAATAAAAAAAGTAACAATAAAGAATATGAAACCCCTCAACCATTCACTCCTCAGCTGAATCAGAAAAATTATTAGCTGCTTACAAGCTTTTTGTTAAGCATTTGATATCCATTGGAAATCAGCTCAAGATCAGTACTCAGGTGATAGTCAATGAGTGCTGCACAAAGACAGGCTGGAGCCCTTTTTTCAGACTTGGAGATGCCCATGATTTAACAGTCACAGCAAACTCCTCCCCAGGAGTGTTTGCTGTGCTTGTTCTAGGGCTGCTTCCTGTAGGCTTGTCATCCCATCCCAGTGCCTTTTGACTGGAGATTATTTCTGCTTTTATTCCCTTTGGGATGGTAGGAGAAAAAGCTGCAGTCATGCCTGCAAACCCCTCTGATCCTCATGTGGTCATTTTTAAATCCTGAAAGTAATATTTTTCAGTATTGTTGGATCTTGTGTTTATATCTTCTGGGTTAAAACAATGCTTCTACATAAGCTTAACCTTTCTATAAGTAATGTGGTTCAAAAGAATGCTTATGAAATGGCTGACTTACCACATTTACTTGTTGCTTTCTGGGCAATAGACTGGGCATGAGATCATGGGAATTTACTGTTCTGCTTATGAAGGCTGAGCTGGTTGGAGAAGGATGCCATTGGTATTTGAATTGGTAGCTGAGCACTTGAAGAGAAACCGCCTCGTTTAAAAAATATGCAGTGGCCTCCAACTCAGTAAGCTAAGCTGTTGCCCAGCACATTCTTGAGCTCTTGGCTGCTGGAGTAGCCTGCTGCAATGCATACTGGCCCATAAATTACTTAAAAGATACCTTCCTGTGTCTTCTAAGTTGCAAAGTCTAGTGGCAGTAGGCTTTTAGCCTTGAAATGAGTGGAAGAAAAGGAGGAAACAGTTGGGGAGTTCAGAGGCGGGGGCAGAGGCAAAGTCACTGCTGTGGATTTCTTCTTGAGGACTTTAGGGTATCATCTTTGTCACTGATGTTCCTTCCCTGTTTCTCTTACAAACCTGGGATGTGTACGTTCTGGTAAGGTCCCCCCCCTCAGTGGAGAAGGTGCGATGTAAGTGAAGGCTGGTGATCATAAATAAATATGTGGGATATCAGGATGAAATCAAGGTGTCCTTCTCCAAAAAGAGAGGAATCGCAGAAATCTAGGGGGGGCCAAAAGGGAAGGAACTGTAGGAAAGGGGTTTGGGAAAACCTGAGTCAGTTCGGTGCTGTTGAAGCCCAAGGGAAATGGCTCTTGGACCTTAGTGAAGATAATGAGGAAGGAATGCCAGAAAGATTATTAAACTTGAATAAAAAGTAGTCAAGTATGTGCTTGCTGTGGCTCCCATCCACAGACTGCTGTACAATTGGACTCTGTACAGTTCTGTATTTTGTTTAAAATAATGACACTTCATCTTTTATTTTCAATAAGCCATGACTATGGATTCATTTTTCACAGTATGAAAATTTTACAGAAAAATGTTGGTTTGAGTGTGTTACCAATATATTTTTCCACATCTGCCTGATACCTGAACTGGTTCACAGATTTATGTCTAACAGCAGCAACACATCTTAAGTCTTTACTTATGTCACAAGTAAAATTAAAAGCAAACAGATTTAGGAAGGGTAAGAGGAAGTATGAACAAGTGCATTCTTGTTTCAGGGTTACAGGAACTAGGAGTGTCCTGTGTTTCATTTGTTACTTTAACGGAATCATCTTACTCATCTTCATCAACTCTGTAGGTCTTGTTCTTACTACCCTTCCTATGTCTCTGTGAGGCATTTCAAGAAGAGTGTTTGTGTGTGTTGAGGTGGAGCAGAACTTCTGAAGTTCTCCTTGCTTCCAAATAAAAAACTCTAATTTCTTTAGCAGACTTCTTAGTTCTCTTGCGACGAAGCTGAGACATTTTGTCTAGCCGTAGTGGCAGATGCATCTTGCTCTTTGGCATGGCCTTCCCCTGGTTCTGGGTTGTACTTTGCAGGCAGAGGTGGAAAGGGGCAGAAGGAGTAGTGTTTGGCAGCTGGGGTTGTGCCTCTCAGGCAGACCTTGTGCTTGGCGAGTCCCTGAGTCGGTAAGTCCTCGAGCAGCGCAGCTGTGGTATCACATCTCTCTTGCTTCATGGCCAGTGTACCACACACTCTTCTCTGTATCATAAACCAACGTTTGGTATCCCATATATCAATGTTCACTTTAATTGAGGGGTCTGCTCTAGCTGAGTGTGTTGAAAGAATCTCAGGTTTAATTACAAGAATTTTAGGTCTAGACAGTTTGATGAGGGTTTTTTTTTGGAATTGATTTTTCTCTGCCTGTCCCTACCCTCCTCCCAGGTGTTTCCAGATGACAGCAGATACCAGACCATAAGCAATGATTTATAGTGGGCTTTTTAAAGGAAAGGGATATTTTAGGGGTTTTTAGATATTTGCTGACTGCATGCCTGTAGTGAGGCAGCTCGATAACATGCAGCAAGCTAACGATGAAGGTGCTGCCTGACACACAGCAACTGGGCATGTTAAGAGGGAGGAAAAAAAACCCACAACACGAAGGAAGGTGGTAGAAACTTGGCTTTGCATATAACCTGAAACGCATGGTAATCGATTGCAGGTGCTCTCAACCTGTGGGTTGTAAACAGAAATCAGGAAATTACAACTGCACTGCCCTTCCTGTGTTGCTCAACAGCAGGGGAGGGAGAAGCCTGGGAACTGCTCGGTGGCTTCTGCTGCAGGAGAAGGCAGCTGTGTTGCCTATCCATCACTTTGCTAGTAGGTCTGGTGCCGGGCCAAGAGGGCTCATCTTTGTTTCTGCAGCTCTCTCGCTTCCAGTGCAGGCAAGCAGATGTGTGCACATACATTGGTGGTTAATTCTTCTCACCCGCCCTCTCGCAAAAGAAAAAGCGAGGTTCTTGCCTTGGACCAAACAGTACGCCTGTTCTTAAAGGCTTTCTTGGTCTTTAGAGGCATGTGTTTGGGGATAAATGATGGTACTGAGTGTCAGTTTAAAAAAAAAAAACAACAAAACAACCAAGCTTCAGGAGCTATACCAATCTAGATTTCAAGTTGGCAATCTTGGCTTGTTGCACAAGAGGCAGTAAAACTCAGCTTCCTAGTGATGCTGCTCATTTAAAAGTCAAATAAAATAAGTGAGATTACTTCACTAGGTGGTGTAAGCTAGTGATCAGGGGCTGTGAAGAAGTGGAAGGCCATTTTCGTTAATGAAAGCCCACTTTGGTATCTGCCATGTCTGGTTTTGTAGCACAACTGGAAATAGAGGAAAAAAGGGGAATTTCTTTAATAAAAAATGACTGGATGAGCACTTCTGCCTCTTGTAAAACACAGTGGACTTCTCATTTGGTGCAGTGAAAAGGGTGAACACCTCTGGCAGAGAAGGAAGATGGCACTGTGGGAATAAGGGCCTCTATTTAAGGCTGTAAATAGCAAATGAATCAATCAGTGCTCGTGGGAGCAAAAGTGGTTGTCAGGTGTCTCGCTGGGTGGTGGGTGCTCCAGAGAGGAGGAACGTGGGGGGGTGCTCCTGGCAACGGGATGCCTTACAAAGCAGCAGGACTCTTTATCAGCAAGAGTCAAACACTGTTGGCAGCTGGCACTGTGCACTTGTTAATGGTGGAAGCATCTGCAGAATATTGACCTGAACTTGTAATTTGTGTGCCGCTTTCCACAGAGGTTCAGGCCCTTGGTCTCCCTCCTCTGTACAAGCTTTCATGTTCTGAGTAGAGAAATCAAAGGTGTTTTGCATGATGATGAGATACTGAGAAACTGGAGTACCTGGAGATGCTTCATATGAGGTGCTTCATTAGTTATTTCTGATTGAGTAAGCTATGCAGCCATCTGTTTTCTGTCTGCTTTCAGACAGAAAGGTAATAAATGCAGTCCTGATCTGCAGTGAATTTGGTAGAAGTTTCCTCGGTTAAATTATTTTCTTCCTCAGACTCGGATGGGGACCAGCAGGTGAGGAGCAGAATGATTCACTCCAGAGGAGTGGGGATAGTCTCCCTGGTTTACTTTCCAGGGGGCAGCCAGGGAGGGCATTGGCTCAGCACAGCTGTGGCAGTAAAAGTGATGGCTTGGTCACTCTAAAATTGTGATAAGAAATGAGCTAAATTCTTTACCCCTCTCAGATCATGCCTTGTCTTGCACTACAACTTCTACTTGCCTACACACAATGCACCTTTACAGAAAGGTAATTGCACCTTCCTGTGCAATAATTATTCTAAAATTAGAGCAAACTGTGATATTGCTGTTGAAACGGGAGGCTCTGTTTTGCTGTGTTATGTGTGCATTTGTGAAAGAGAGAGTCTCTTGAAACTAAAACTTTCCTTGTGGTTCTTCCAGACACAGTTGAGTCCATGCTTTCAGACTACGACATCCTTTCTCAGTCTAGCATCCAGCAACACTCACTGAAGAAGAGGGACCTCCAGCCTGAGACACATGTAGAGAGGCTCTTAAGTTTTTCAGCCCTGCAAAGGTAATTAAACTGAAGGCAAATATTACACTGTTTCGTTGCTGATGATTTATGTGATGAACAATACCAAACCCAGAAATAGTTATCTTGTTTTCTGTCATGACTGGCCAGTTCTTCTAAGTTAGTGATCTGCATGGTTATATGGCTTCAGAGAGGTTTAGAGGAAACAGAAGAATAAGTTGAGTTGCATTATATTGCACTGTTTGCTAAAGTGGCAGTGATTTTAAGATTTCTTTTGCATCCCACTTCTATCTCATCTTGGCATCATAGTTATACTTATGGACTGTCCCCTGGTTCTTGAAAAATCTTTGCCTTCAGTTTGGGGAGTGCACGTGATCTGTTGCTCAAGAGTTTTTGTTGTTTTTTTTTTAATGGAGGTTTAATCATCTTCCTACTGAGTGTAGATTTCCCATTCAATAAACCACTTCTTTTAATAATTATTTTTTTACAAGACAGGAAATAGAAGGACAGGTGAAAGGGGAAGGTTGTAGGGATGCTATTCTGAGTGTCAGAAAAGTGCCTGACAGATTCTGAGTGCTGAAATTGTGAATCTGAAATGGGGGAGCAGGATGAGAATAACGCTTTGTGTTAACAAGTGTAGGTTGATTTTGTTCATATGACATCTGTGTCTACCGTGTTCTCATGTTCCCCATCTGTCATCTACAACTGTTATGCAAGTTGTGAATATGTTTTAAATCTCTAAATGTTTGGTGGGGGGTAGCAAGTATAAAAGGTGAATGGAATCCAATGTCTGGCTGTCCCTGTCTTGCACTCCCTTATGCACCCTTACTTCATGGTGAGGTTGCAATACTGCCAATGATAATTACAGAATAATTGCAGAGGGGGATAACAAAAATCTTTGACCCAAAGCCCACATAAACCAAGAGTCCATGTGGCTCCTTCCAGAGAAGGTTCTCTACTTAGTTCTTGGGATAGCCTTCAGTTTTTGTGACACTGTCATAAAAATCTGCAGAGTTCAGATTTCTGTTTATAGTCTTCTGACTATATTATTTCAGAAAATAAGAACTTTAAGATAATTTAACTTAAATTAGGTGAACAAATTCCTTGGTCTGATTTTCTTTAAATAGTTACCTGTAACTGGTTTTGCTTGACTGCGTATGGAGAAGGTGCATCATGAGCAAACCGTGACTGTTTGTGTGTGGTTTTTTGTGGTTTTTTTTAAATTAAATACTCTTCATAACTGTAAACGTTATTAAAGTGTCAATTACACAGTATATGTTTTTGTAGCCTGCTTATCAGAATTAATGCTTTCAAATTTCTTTGAGACCCTCAGTAAAATGTAGACTGGATATGTCTGTTCTGTGTATACTTTGCTTAAAAATAAATGGAAGTAAATTCTTTTACAGGCACTTTAAATTATACTTAACTGCAACTGCTGAACACTTTTCAGAAAAATTTGAAGCATTAATTGTGGATGGTGAAGGCAAGGAAAAGGACTATCGTGTTCAATGGCAAGACTTTTTCACCGGACATGTCGTTGGTTAGTATGGACTAGACTGTTTCAGTGCTGAGAAAGAACAGATCTGTACGAGTCTCTTGGCCAAAGTAAATGGTGTGTTGCCCTCATTTTCATCAGATATGATTAGGATGAACAAGTAAACTTAATTCTCATGCCCCTCGGGTTTTCTGTTTTTTGGTTTTTTTTTATGGGGTTTTTTGGTGGGTTTGGATTTTTCTGAGTTATTGTACCAAGGTTCTAAGATAAGACTCTTCTGTTTGGTTTGGCAGAACACAAAGGTATAATTTACTCAAGCAGCAGCTTGTGATTTTTTGAAAATTATAATAGTGGCTTTAATTGCAACTGGAACATAGGACTTAAGTGTTCCTTGTCCCAGAACAGCAGCCCAAGTAGTGATGATGCAGTGTTGCCCAGATTGTTACGTTAAAAGTCTTTAAGATGATGCTTTTCAGACTACTTTTCTGTAGAGAAAGGTATTTTGCTTAAGTCCAGCACTCATGCTTCTGCTAAGTTGTTTTGGTTTTTATGTTGCCTTTGTGGCGTGGTGAAAGTCTTTTCCACTGGAATGCAGGCTGATGCCATGAAACTGCTGTCCGATAGTGGTAAGATGCAAGCTGCTTTTGTTGGCAGAAATATTCTGTGTCCCATTACTAATCCCCACAGCCATCTCAACACCTTCTGCAAAATTATCAATTAAATTAAGTATTGATGACTATGACCATTGGGAAGTTATGGTTGGGGGGAGTGCTGGTTCATTTTTTCTTTTTTTCTTTTTTCTTTTTTTCTT